GAATTATTAGCAAACCAAATTCAGCAATACATTAAAAAGATCATGCACCATGACCAAGTGGAATTTATTTCTGACATGCAAGTTTGTTACAATATCCACATATCAATTAATGTGATATACTACATAAATAAGATGAAGGATAAAAATCATATGATCATATCAATAGATGCAGAGAAACCATTTGACAAAATCCCACACTCATTTATGATAATAATTCTTAGCAAAGTGGGAACAGAGAAAACATACCTCAACATAATAAAGGCCATATATAACTAACCACAGCTAACATCATACTCAATGGGGAAAAACTACAAGCATTTCCGTTAAGGTCATGAGTAAGACAGGGATGTCCACTTTCGCCACTCTTATTCAACATAGTACTGGAAGTCCTAGCCACAGTGATCAGACAACAAGAAGAAATAAAAGGCATCCAAACTGGAAAGGAGGAAGTAAAACTGTCATTATTTGCAGATCACACGATATTGTAAATAGAGAACCCAAAGACTCCACCACAAAACTACAATAACTGATAAATGAATTCAGTAAACTAGCAGGACACAAAATGAATATTTAGAAAATGGTTGCATCTTTTTATACCAATAATGAACTATCAGAAATGGAAACTACAAGAACAATTGTATTACAATTGTGTTAAAAAAAAAATACCTAGGAACAAATTTAATCCAAGGAGATAAAAGACTTGTATTTGGAAAATTACAAGACACCGAAGAAAGAAATTGCAGAAAATACAGTTAAATGGAAGCACATACCATGCTCATGGGTAAGAAGAATTAACATTCTTAAAATGTCCTAGAGAAATCTAAAGATTCAATGCAATTCTTATCAAAATACCAATGGATTATTTCACAGAACAAGAATAAATAGTCCAAAAATATATATGGAACCACAAAGACCCTGAGTAGCCACAGCAATGTTGAGAATGAAGAAGAAAGTTGGAGGTATTACACTACCTGATTTCACAGTATAGTATTGGCATAAAAACAGACATATAGACCAATGCAGCAGAATTGAGAGCCCATAAATAAACTCACACTTTTATCAACTAGAGGCCTGGTGCACAGATTTGTGCATATTGAAAGGAAATTAATTACAAGGTGGCCAGTGGGGCTGGACTGGGTGAGACAGGATGGACATGCCCTGTGGTCAACCTCCCACGGTCCCTCCCTGGCCGGCCACACCTGGGACAACGCCAGGGCTTGAAGGGCATCTGTGGAGTGAGCAAAGTCCCTTTGGCAGGTGGGGTCCCTTGGCCTGGCCTACGTGGATGGGGTCGAAACTGGCTCTCTGACATCCCCTGAGGGGTCCTGGATTGCAAGAGGGCAGTTGTTGGGTGATGCACCTTGGAATTGGGCTCCTTCCTCTTTGGTTCTGGGTGCATCACCCAAGAACCACAGCTGCCAAGTCACTGCAGCTTGGCAGCTCCTGCATTGAGCATATGCCCTCTGGTGGTCAGTGCGCATCATAGCTACTGGTCTGATGGTTGAACGGTTGAAGAGTTGGATGGTCACTTAGTATTTGACAAAGGAGGCAAGAGCGTACAACGGAGCAAAGAGAGTCTATTTAATAAATGGTGCTGGGAAAATTTTCCATGCAAAAATGAAACTAGAACACCTTCTTCATCATATACAAAAATAAACTCAAACTGCATTAAAGATTTAAATGTAAGACTCAAAACCATAACATTCCTAGAAAAAAAAACAAAGGCAGTAAAATATCTGATATTTCTCTTAGCAATCTTTTTTTCTGATATATTTTCACAGGGAAGGGAAACAAAAGAAAAATAAACAAATGAGACTACATCAAACTAAAAAGTTTTGGTACAGCAAAGGAAACAAAATGAAACGACAACCCGCTGAATGCGAGAACACATTCGCCAATGAGATCTCTGATAAAGGGTTAATATCCAAAATTTATAAGAAACTCATACAACACAACACCAAAAACACAAACAACCCAATTATACAATGAGCAGAGCTCTTGAATAGACACTTCTCCAAAGAGGACCTACAGCTGGCTAACAAGACATATGAAAAGATGCTCAATGTCACCAATTGTTAGAGAAATGCAAGTTACCTGTCAGAATGGCTATTATCAATAAATGCACAAATGATAAGTGTTGGTGAAGATGTGGAGGAAAGGGAACCTTTGTGTACTGTTGGTGGAAATGCAGATTGGTGCTGCCACTGTGGAAAACAGTATAGAATTTCTTTTAAAATTCAAAAATTGAATTTCCTATGACCCAGAAATTTCACTTCTATGGATCTATACAAAGAAACCTAAAATATTAATTGGAAAGAATATATGCAACTCTATGTTCATTGCAGCATTATTAATAAGTGCCAGGATATGGAAGCAACCCAAGTGCTCATTAATAGAAGAATGGATAAAGAATGGAGGTACATATATATACAATGGAATATCATTTGGCCATAAAAAAGTATGGAATCTTACCATTTGTGACAGCATGGATGGACCTAGAGGGTGCAATGCTTAGTGAGATAAGTCATTCAGAGAAAGAAAAATACATTATGATTTCACTTATTTTTGGAATCTAAATAATAAAATAAATGAACAAACAAAACATAAACAGACTCACACAGAGAGAATGAAGAGCAGACGGAGGGTTACCAGATGGGAGAGGTGTTGGGAGATTGGGTGAAAAATTTGAAGGGATTGAGACATACACATTGGTAGATTAAGAATAGTCATAGAGATGTAAAGTACAACATAGGGAATATAGTCAACAATATCGTAATAACTATGTATGGTGCCACGTGGGTCCTGGAAATATAGGGAGAACACTTTGTAACATATATAATTGCCTAACTGCTGTGCTGTACACCTGAAGCTAATATAAAATAATATTGAATGTAAAAAAATAAAAATATTACCACACAAATAAAGGTGAAATAGTGGTGAAAAATAGAGATATGGAAGATAGGCTTGAGAGAAATGAGCAAAATGAAATGGAAAATAATAGTTAAAATTTATTAGGGAAAACAGAAAATAACACTTAAAAGTTATTAGGGAAAATGGTAGATATGAAAGACAAATTTCAATTATATATATAATTTGTGCTTCTAGGAAGAGAATAGAACAAAGATATGTTTTAGGAAAGCTTTCCTGTAACAAAGATAACTGTAAATCTATAGGCTTAAAGGTTAATATGCTGTCCTGGGAAAACTTCATACGGATGGATCAATATATATCATTGTCAAATAACTAGAATTTGTAAATAAAAGAAACATGCATATTGGCTAGGCCATAAAATCAAGTCCTCTATTATGTACAATATTCTCAGGTTGACTTTAAATTTCTTCATAACAACATTCAATATCTACATGGACGTCAGAGAAAGAAAATGTGACTTATGAATTGTAAAACAGCCTAACTATAATTCAAGTATGCACATAATTGACAGTTTTACACATGGAAGATAGCAGGAAATATGGTTCCCATGAGCCCTTCTTAAAGAAACTTCTGAGGATAGCCTAAGTTAACTAAGCAATGAATGAAAAAATGAATAAAAGGACTATTTTGAGAAGATAATTCATTTAAATGTATTAAATGTATTAAATTATGACTAATCAACTATAAGAATTATGTCTGCCTAATAGCATATAAGCTATATAAAATCGTCAATTCAGAAATGGTAGTAAAATAAATCAAATTTGGTAGATGTTGGGGACTGGCAGAGAGACGAAGTAAAAGCTAGGATAAGTACTGGTATGCTAATTTTTATATCGTATAGTGAATGAGGGGTCAATAGACCCTGTCCATAGCTGATAAATCAAGTATTACATAGATAAATATTTTAAGGATAAAAAGGTAACAACTAGACTAAGTATGATAATAAAATTAACCAAAAAATCCCTATATTAGAATAGATGGAAGAAATAGAAACATGCTTATTTCTCATAATTTATAGTAAGGAGTTCATCAATTCTATCTAAATAGTTAAAATCTATTTTAAAATTTTGTCAACTCACCAATCTGTATTCTATGGAATATATATATTTTCTTCCAGTTTGAAAAAAATACGCTTCATTATCTTTTCTCTGCTCCATGATTCTTCAAAGAGTACTGGAATGGTTCTGTGACCACATCTACCAGGTTATTTTAGTGTCTTTGGATAGTCTTCATTTAGATCTAGAGATCTGACTCTTAAATTAGCCAAGGACAAAAATCTTGATTTCACTGTACTATTGTTTTATTCCTACCAAATTCCAGTGGTTTATTTTTTCTCTCTTTTTTTTCTTTCTTCTTATCTGTCCACCGATCCAATTAACATTTGTTCAGTTTTTACTGAGTCAGATGCTGTGAAAGAATGCTGGCTAGTTACAAAGATGGTGCAGACAAGCCTCTGCCCTCAAGAAGATTAGTCTAGGGCAGAGGCCAATAACACTAACACAAATATGCTTTTAATATCAAGAGCAATCTCCCTACGCCACCCAACCCCAAGAAAAGCTAAAGTTATCTTGCTGTTCTGAAAAGGCTCTGTGAAGAAAATCGTATTTCCTCTGGGTCATGAAGAATGAATAGGTCTTCACCAGGCAGGAAAAAAAAAAAGAATGCTCCAGAGAGAGTAAAAAATTAAGCAGACACAGAAGGAATGATGATCACTTTGGTTTGATTGTAATGGGAACATACTGGAAAGTGAGGGGCTGGGTTGAAATTAAAGTCCACTCTTCTGGTTGACTTTGTAAATACAAAGGATTCCCCTTGAGTCTAGCAGTATCACATTTAGGTTTGGTCCCTCACCACCAGGTATCAGTCCTCTATGATACATACCCTCTTTTCTTTGCCCCCAGCAAACACCTCACATTGCCAAGAAGCACTCCAGTTGAGAAATGGATTGATGACCCCAGTGAATAGCACACAGCCTTGGCCAGTTCCCACAGGCTGCAGGCTGCCCACTCCTGGTTACAATACAGTTCTCTCAGGAGTGTTTCCCAGCCCCCACCCTTGCTGTATCTCACCTTCATCTCCAGGGCCTCTGGCACCTTCTTGCCTTCCCAAGCCCAACTCCTCTTGGTGAAGTAGTTGACAGTGGCAAATTCAATCAGCGCAGAAAATACAAAGGCATAACAGACGGCTATGAACCAGTCCATGGCCGTCGCATATGCCACTTTAGGTAAGGAGTTTCTGGCACTGATACTCAGGGTGGTCATGGTGAGAACAGTGGTGACACCTGGGGAGAGAGAAGATAAGAACCCAGTTGCCAATCAAAGACACTTAGAGCATATTCATGAAGAATTAGAAAATATAAATAGACCAATCAGCAGTGATTAAATTGAAGCAACCATAAAAAATCTCCCAAAAAGTAAAAGTCCAGGACCAGATGGATTCACCAGTGAATTCTACCAAACGTTCAAACTCTTCCAAAAAATTGAAGAAGAGGCATTACTTCTTAACACATTCTATGAGGCCAATGTAACCCTGATACCAAAATCTGGCAAAGATAACACAAAAAAATGAAAACTACAGACCCATATAAGGGAATCTTCATTCACTGCTAGTGGGAATGTAGACTGGTACAACCACTATGAAAAGCAGTCTGGTGATTCCTCAAAAAATTAAAAATAGAGCTACCATATGACTCAGCAATACTTCTCTTGGGTATATAACTGAAAAACTAGAAATCATATATTCGCAAAGATATATGCAACCCTATGTTTATTGTAGCATTGCTCATGGTGGCCAAGACATGGAAACAACCAAAGTGTCATGTGATAGAGGACTGGATAAAGAATATGTGCTAATAAAGGGTGAGATACTGCCATTTGCAACAACATGGATGAACCTTGAGAATATTGTGCTAAGTGAAATAAATCAGTCAGAAAAAGCTGAGTTATATGATTTCACTCATATCCTATATAAAAAAGAGGTAATATGCAAATGCAAATTGACCATCACACCCTTGCACAAAATGGCTGCCACAAGATGGCCAGCAGGAAAGGCAGTTATGGGTGATCAGGCCAGCAAGGGAGGGCATTTCGGGGGAGGGGGGAACTAGGCTGACAGGAGAGGGCAGTTAGGGGTGACTGAGCTGGCAGGGGTGGGCAGTTGGGGGAAACCAGGCTGGCAGGGGGGCAGTTAGGGGAGACCAGGCCAGCAGCGGGGGGCAGTTAGGGATGACCAGGCCAGTGGGGGGGTACAGTTGGGGGTGGCCAGGCCAGCAGGGGGGGCAGTTGAGGGCAATTAGGCTGGCAGGGGGGCAGTGAGGGACAACAAGGCCAGCAGTGGGGGGCAGTTGGGGGCAACCAGGCCAGCAGGGAGGGGGCAGTTAGAGTAAACCAAGTAGGCATGGGGGGCAGTTAGGGGTGATCAGGCCAGCATGCAGAGGCAGTGAGGGGCCATCAGGCCAGCAGAGGGGGGCAGTTAGGGGCGACCAGGCAGGCAGGCAAATGAGCAATTAGGAGCTAGTGGTCCAGGATTGTGAGAGGGATGTCTGACTGCAGGTTTAGGCCCGATCCCTTCGTCTTTGCAGCTTAGATGTGTCTCTTTGTAGGCAGAATATGGCTGTGTTTTGATTTTTGTTCCACTCTACTACTCTGTGCCTCTTTATTGGTGAATTCAGACCACTTACCTTTAGGGTAATTATTGATGTATGAGGATTTCCTATAGCTATTTTATATTTTATTTTTTGGTAGTGTTGTGCCTCCATTGGTTCTTTTCCTTTCTGTTTCTGTCTGTTGTTTTTGTTTGATGGTATTCCATACCCTTTCCTCTGTTTCCTCTTTTTTTTTAAGCTATGTGACCTGGTTTGGGGATTTTTGTGTGTGACTACCATTAGGTTTATAAAAAATAAAGTTGCATATATACCAAAGTTTTTTTTTTCTCTTTTGAATACATCTGATCTTCATCCTCCTTTGCCAGTTCAGACCTTTATTCCCTCCCCTTTTAAGTTTTTGTCATCACTAATTATCCCTGTTTTTGCTATAAGCTTTTTGGTGATCTTACTCATAGTGTTATAACCTTATGTTCTTTGTTTCCGATAGAATAACTTCCTTGAATATTTCCTGCAATGAAGGTTTTCTGGTGATAAAATCCTTCAGATTCTGTATGTCTGGGAATGTCTTTATTCCTCCATATTTACAGGATAATTTGCTGGATATATTATTCATGGCTGGTAATTTCTCTCTTTCAGAACTTGAATATTTTGTTCCATTCTCTTTTGGCTTGTAGAGTTTTTGCTGAGAAATCAGATGAAATTCTGATGGGTTTTCCTTTGTAGGTCACTTCCTTCTTTTCCCTGGATGCTTTGATAATTTTTTCTTTCTCACTAATTTTTTACAGTTTTAATACCAACTTCCCTGGAGAGGATCTCTTTGGATTAAGGTAACTAGGTGCTGTTTGCTTCTTGGATTCGAGGATCTAGTTCTTTCCATAGATTTGGGAAGTTCTCATCCACTATTTGTTTGAATAGACTCTCTGTCCCCTGCTCCATTTCTTCTTCCTCTGAAATGCATATAATTATAATATTGCTTTTTCTGATGGATTCAGATAGTTCTCATAGAAGTCTTTCATTTTTCTTTATGCTCAGGTCTCTCTTCTCCTCCCTCTGCATCATTTCTGGATTCTTACCTTCAATATCATAATTCTTTCCACTATGTGGTAAGCTCTGTTTTCTATGCTCAGTAGTTTACTCTTAATGTCCTTAATTGAATGCTTCATTTCCAGGATTTCTGTTTGGTTCTTTATAAAGTTTCAATCTCTTTGGTAAAGTACTCATTTTGTTCATTGATTTGTTTTCTGAGTGCACTAAATCATCTGTCTGCATTTTATCACATCTTATTGAGTATTTTCAGAACTGAGTCTTGAAATCTCTGACATTTTTATTACATATTTCCATGTGTTCCAGCATGCTTTCTGGAAATTTTTCATATTCTTTCTCGTCATCCTCATTACTATGGTTACTCATAGTATTTGCTTTTCTTCTTTGCCTATGCATTTATGTCTGTCTATATATTATTTTTCCAGTAGATGGCATTGAATCACAAGATTTTTTTTACCTCTCTGATCTCCCAGTCTTGACCTCCATGGCTTTGGTAAGAGTACATCCCCACTGCTTGGGGGTGGGGTTTTGTTTTGCCCTCACTGTAATGGCGACCCCTGACCTCCACAGGGTCTTCCCAAAGCCCCCCTCCTGGGGGTCAGTCACAGAGGGAAATAGCAATCTTACTGCAGCAGCTATTGGTTTACAGATGCTACATCCCTGAACCTGACACCTAGGGCAACAGGAGGTGAGTTTTGGGAGTCCAAGCCACAGCAGGGCTCTGTGGTTCTGTTTCTTTGAAACACAACCACCAGTGGTACATCAATGAGAGCCGCATGGTAGAACCCTGTGCTCTATTGACTCAGACACTGTTTTCTCCCTTGCTGCTTGCTCTGCTTGGTTGCCCCCCTCCCCTCTTCATACACCCTCCTCCTGCCACATATCTCTGTTCCTCCTGGCGAAGGAAGTACTTGCTATACTGGCTTTCTCCTCTTTCCAGGCTGAGCCACGAGCTCCCAGCCTACAAGGCTGCTATGGGCCATCTGTGCTTTCCTGCCTTCTTGGCTCCCTATTTATTCCTGATTGCCCACATGTTTCAATGTGTGGGTCTCTTAGGCATGTGTCTGTGTTAAACAGGGATTTCTTTGTTGAATTATAGTTGGTTGACTTGTTGAAATTTCAGGGAGAGAGGCTAAGGGGTTCTCTCATGCCGCCATTCCTCTGACGTCACTCCCTATTTATTTTTTCTAATGTGTTTAAATTTTAGATATACATTTGATCTCTATAATGTTGTGGTTAACAATATAAATTTTAGAGTCAGAATGAAATATACTGAAAATCTGGCAATCCCACTTACTATTAATATGACCTTGAACAAGATGTTTTACCCCTCTCAGACTCAGTTTTATCATATGTAAATTGTGTGCAATGATACCAAACTCAGATTTGTTGGGGGATCCAGTGATGTTTGCAGAGCTCATAGCACAATATCTGGCACATGGTAATCTCTCAATAAATAGTAGCTTCTATAATTAACATCACCCCTAATTTTACTATTTTTATTAACAATAGTCTTGTCATAATTACTGACTATTTATAGAAATATGATTATAAACACATTTAAAACAATATTATAATAATTTTATAATTGATAGCAGTAGTAGAAGTCAGAAGTCCTGAGTTCTGTCACTTATTTGCTTTTTATCTTAGGTAATTATCTTAATTTCTCTGTGCCTTTATTCTCTCCTATGAATAGTCCCTATATTCTCCATCCCCCAGAATGGTGATGAGGCAGTTGCTGTAATCCAAAGTCATCCAAACTTAGGGAAGGGAGAATAGTCAAAACCTTTGTGTTGGTATGCTCAAGAGCATGGAAATGTAAACCTCATGAACTAGATCAAATAGAGCATGGAAAGAAGTCCAAATGGGGTGAGCTATGTTATATATAAAAAGAAAGTAGATAAGTCCTATTAACTCCACCAGAAAGTTAGCCATGTGTACTGCAGCCTCTGGGGCCTCCTCTCATACCTTGCCTCCTTGATCACCTTGCTAATATTTGCTACACAAATGAAAATCCAGACTGCAAGAGATAGTACAGTTTAAACAGAGATACCCTAAAGGAGCACCTTTGAACAAATTAGGCAGAGTCATCCTTTCAGGAATCAGCCACATAGCTAGTACATATTAACAAACTATCTGAATTTATAGCCTTATAAGCTCTGAGAATGGACCCAAGGTTAAGTAACTCACCACAACAAGCAATGAGTAATTCATGGGAGAAACAAGTTACCTCATTTATGATTATCACTTTATGCAGTTGTCCACTCTTGACATATTCACAGCACTATGCCAATGGATGGATAGAAAAACTCTGAAACATAAGTGTTTCTGTGCCATATCTCAGTAGAGACTTTTAGAGCTCTTGCCTCTAGGTCTTAATTAGAACTGTCATCTTGTAAAGTGCTCTTAGCTGCCGGGAGCCGGTCCATCCTTGCTGTTTCAAAGAACCTGGCATATATGGCATACTGTTTTTAATATGTTTGCTCACCTTCTTGGCACTATGTGTTTTAACCAAGGTCTCTGAGAAAGGTTGTTTCCCCAGGTAGGGATTTTCCCCTGAAGTTAGGGAGGGAATAAAACCCCTCAACTAAGTGCCAGGCAGGTAATTAATCACTTTAACTACGAACAATCATGCTTAAGCTACATAATCTTTACTCCCTGGAATGGAGATAAGAAACGCCCTAACCTTTGTAATAGAGATTGATAGGATCGAATCAACTGCTATAAATACAGATGTAACAAGACAGCAAGAGTCAGAACTTAGAATACAGAACTTAGAACACAGAACTTAGAATACAGAACTTAGAATACAGAACTTAGAATACGGAACCAAGAGAGACAGAACCTAGGCACAGAACCTACACAGAACGTTCTCTAGAGACAGAAGAACTTTGCTGGAGAGAACATGGCAAAAGATCCTGGACAGAAACTGGCCTCAGAACCTAGAGACAGAACCTAGCGAGAGAACATGGCAAAAGATCCTGGACTGAACCTGACTACAGAAATGGGCAAGAGAACCTGACTAGAACCTGGTAACTGAACCTGGCTGGAGAACCTGGACTGAACCTGGCTGGAGAATCTAGCAAGGGAACATGGCTACAGAACCTGGCTGGAGAACCTAGCAAGAGAACATGGGCACAGAACCTGGCTGGAGATCTGAAGCAGAACTTCGCTGGAGATCCAGACCAGAACTTGGCTGGAGATCCTGGCTGGAGATCCTGGCTAGGCTGCTGATCAACTGAACACTGTCTCCGTGTCCTTCCTTCTTCGCCGACTCCGTCTACACCTTTGGGGACCCCTGGACCTGCTGGGGTTGGACTCCGGCACTTAGCTACTCAATGCTGTTAGCATCCTCAGTAAAGCATTTGGTATACTTAATGGATGGACAAAGAAGTATGGCATTTTAAAGGAGATACATGCCTGTCATCCAGTGCTTCTCTTTCAAGACTCTTCTAGAAAGGTTTTTGTGACTGCCCTGCCTCACTTCCTTTGAGCACTTCTAAAAGTCTAGTATACTTCTTCAATAACAAGTCTGTTACAGCAAACCATAAGTTGCATGAGAGTAATGACCATGGATAATATCTCTATTTTCTCAAACCTGAACACAATGGAGTAGTCCCCTAGTTCAACCATCACCAACTGGTGGTCTGTGGACCACTGGTGGTCCATGAGGTCTGAAAAGTTGGTGACCACTGCACCTAGTTCATGTGTAATGAGTGGAACTGCTCTTCTCAGCCTACAGCCCATGGACTGCACCACATTTGCTTCTGTCATAGTGAATAATGTACTTTTTAATAGTAACTATAGGTTGTTATTATCCTATATAATAAAAGGCTAATATGAAAATCACCCAAATGGTGGAATGACTGGTCACTATGATATGCACTGACCACCAGGGGGCAGACGTTCAATGTAGGAGCTGCACCCTGGTGGTCAGTGTGCACCCACAGGGGGAGCGCCACTCAGCCAGAAGCCAGGCTCATGGCTGGCGAGTGTAGCAGTGGTGGCAGGAACCTCTCCCGCCTCCACCACAGCCCTAAGGAGCAGTGAGCTGAGCAGTAAGGAGCAGTGAGCAGGCAAGTGGTAAGGAGCAAGGGGTCCCAGACTGTGAGAGGGATGACTGACTGCCGTCAGGCATAGACATCCCCCAAGAGGTCCCCCCTGAGTGCATAAATTTCGTGCACCAGGTCTCTAGTCAATAATATAGTTCTTATTCTCTTCTTTTCCCTAGCTTTAACTGTCTATTCTGTGTCTTGCAGAATTAGGTCCTAGGGATACAAAAACTAAAATGTTTCAGACTACAGTATTCAAAATGAGCACACACTCTCCCCAATAGATAATCAGAATTAATCATAATTCATAAACCTGTTGAGCTCAGATACCACCACAGGGGCAAGCATTTTTGTTAATTTATTGTCAGCCAGGTTTAATATATTTTACAAAGTGCATTACTAAATATGACCCAGTGCCCCATTCCCTTTCTACACTTTTCTCCAAAATCTTCTAACTCCCCAACTCTGCTGCTCTATGACAAGCAAATTCACCTATCTTCTAACCTTCTTCTCCAAATGCGCATTCCTCTTTTGATCTTGACTGAAACCTGACTCTCCTATTGTATATACCATTTTGGTTCTCAAAAGCTGGTTGATCATTCAGAATCAAGATATCCAGTGGTAGGGGTCCATATTTTCCTTGATCTCTATTACTCCTTAGTCCAACACACAATCATAGTCATGTGATAATCTGTGCTCCTGTGATATTTCTAATATCAGGTGATATCCATGTCCACTCTTTTTTTTCCTTTTTATTGAATTTATTGGGGTGACACTGGTTAACAAAATTATACAGGTTTTGGGTGCTCAATGCCACAACACATGACCTGAACACTGTATTGTGTATTCACCACCCCAAGTCAAGTATTCTTCCATCACCGTTTATCCCTATGCCCTCTCTCATAAGTATCATCTATTGAATACTTATATTACCTCAAAAGTTCGTTTGAGACCATTTCATCCCCTTCTTGGCCCCAGGTAACCACCTCATTCCTTTTTAATGCCCTGCTCTGCTTTCTTTCACTATGGATTAGATCCCCTCCCCCAGCGTTTAATATAAATATCATACACTATGTACTCATTTGTGTCTGCTTTCCTCCACTCAGCATAATATTCTTTTCTTTTAAGATATATTTTTTATTATCTGGCCAGCATGGCTCAGTGGTTGAATGTAGACCTATGAACCAGGAGGTCACAGTTCAATTCCCAATCAGGGCACATGGCCGGGTTGTGGGCTCGATCCCTAGTGGGAGCATGCAGGAGGCAGCGATCAATGATTTTCTCTCATCATTGATGTTTCTATCTCTCTCTCCCTCTCCCTTCCTCTCTGATAAAAATGCATTTTAAAATATAGATATATTTTTATTAATAAAAATATATTGATATAATAGTATCAGCTCATATGATTAACACTCCAGTTTTTAGTTCCTTATACTATATGAGTCCCTGAGTATTTCCTTTAATTTCTTATGAGCTCAGATATTTTTTTAAAAGGATGGTTCCTATGTTTCACTAGCTTTTCTAGGATTTGTAAAGAAAAATTTTTCAGGGTATTTAATTTGTTATATTTTCAAAAATGGGCACCTTTAATCTACTCCTATATAGATTCTGCTCCCCCCATTTCACTAGAAATATTCTTTTCAAAATCACTAACAACCAATCATATCATCATACTCAACATACAGTTTCTATCTGCATGTTACCTAAACACACAATAGAATTCATCCCAGATGATTATTCCCTGCTTCTTGAAACACTCTTCTTCTCTTGATTTCTATAATATTACACCCTTCTACTTTATTTTTCCTACTTTATAGGTTACTGTTTCTTTCTCCATTGCTATATCCTTCTCTACCTGACCTAAAATACTGCTTTTTTTTCTGAAACATCATTTACTACTTAAGTACACTGTATAACTTCAGAAAATTGGTAGGAAATATTGGCCATCTGTGTGGATATGCAGCACACCCAAGTATATGACTCACAGCCACCATGCCATGGAGGCAGTTTAGTAGACTAAAATAGTTAATTAATATTTATCTCTTAAAAAATCTTACAGTGCAGAAACAGAAAAATGTTATATGCTGTAATTCTCCCAGGGAAAAGTGGTAATAATATACAAGCCTTTCCCTAGACATCAGTAAATTTATATTGAAGAAAATTTCTCCGATTGTAGGTACTATTAAAAAACCTACAAACTGTATAGCCTTTAGTAAATACCAGATGATTCATACTTTCAAAAAGGCTAGAGGAGAAGCAGCAAGGTTATATGTGCATACAAAAAAATGGGTTATAAAAATGCTTCCAATCCTCCTCTCTGTTTCAGTTTAGTTTCCCAACCTTCACCTTCTGGAGTCTGCTCATTAATTTCCTCTTTTTCACTAAACTCTCCAACCCTCCCCAGCTCCTGGAACAAGCCTGACTGAGACAGTAAGCACTACAGTAACCTTACTACTTCAACACTCTTCTTATTCCCACTTCTTTGTTAAGTGTTTAGTTGTCTGAAATACCAGGATCTAATGACTCAGTTACTAATGCTGGGCTAAGGTGTTGCTCCCATTATCTCCAGTAATGGTTCTTCTACCTTCTCACACGTACTCTGAGTGCCCATCATAACACTTTGAAAATGTCTCCCCCCGCTTCATTCTCTGTAAAATGACACTCACCAAAGACTGTGCGAGCTGGAACAGACTCTCTGTTCAGCCAGAAAGACACTTGTGACAGAATGACAGTCATAATGCATGGCAAGTAGGTCTGGATCACAAAGTAGCCAATTTTTCTCTTGAGGTGGAAGTGGGTTGTCATGACAACATATTCTCCTGGAAAGAAAGTAAAATTAGGTGGTATGTAACCGAACAAACATTGTTGGATTGAGGTGGCTTCCAATTCAGTTCACAAAGCTCCTTAACCTTATATTCAAAACATCCTGGCACCTCCCAAATCCATGAAACCAGATCTCATGAAGTAGTGAAATAAATAAAAAATATTTTTTTAAAAAATAATTAAGATCTTACTATGTGCCAAAAAACTTTGAGTATTTTGGGAGTATTTACTTTGCACCCTTCCAACAACCCTGTAAGGAAGGTACTAATTATTATCCTTTGTTAAATTCAGTAGTTAATTATAGCTCTTACTGGATTTGTCTGAAGCATTTTACACAGTCAAGCCCTCCATCCTCCTGGAATGACTCTCTTCAAGGAATTTCTAGGCCATGATGCTCTTCTGGTTTTCCCCTACCTCATTACTTCTCCAGTCTCCTTTGCTGATTCCTTTACATTTCTAAACACTCGAGGATGTCAGGACTTGTACTCTTTTCTGTCTCACTCACTGCCTTTGCTTTCTCAGTCTGTGTCTTTAAAAGGCGAAAGATTTATGCGATCTGAAGAGAAACCAGAGTATGTGTGTCTTTAAATAATACATCAAACTCTGATAATCCCCAATGTATATCTTCTTAGTGGGCTTCCTTACTTGTTATGAGTTGAATTGTGTCTCCTGGAAAGATATGGTAAAGTCCTAACCCTGAGTACCTAATATTGTGACCTTTAGAAATAGGGTTGTTGCAGATATAATTAGTTATGATGAGGTCATACTGGAGTAGGATGGACTGTAATACACTATGAATAATCCTATATAATAAAGGGCTAATATGCTAATTAGACCAAATAGCAGAATGACTGTCCGGATGACCTTCAGGACGAAGCCGGGGCTGTGAGGGCCAAGGCTGCGAGGGGCTGCAAGGGCTGAGCCCCTTGCATGAATTTTGTGCATCGGGCCTCTAGTGCTCTTATAAAGAAAAAAACGCACAGGGTGATGTTATGATGACATGTGATGACAGAGGCAGAGATTGGAGTGATAAATCCACAAGCTAGGGAATGCCGAAGGCTGCAACCTTCAGAAATTAGGAGGCAAAAGCACAGAACAGATTCTGCTTCAGAACCTCCAAAAGAAACAAACTCTGCCAACATCTTGTTTCAGACTTGTAGCCTCCAAAACTGAGGGATAATACATTTCTATTGTTTTAAGCCACCCAGTTTGTGGTACTTTCATACACAGACCTAGGGTTCCCTACACTACTCTGGACCTATGTATTCAATTACCTATTATACATCATATACATCATCACTTGGGGATCTAATAGGTACCTTGACCTAAGATGTCCAAGTCATAGATTTTATTCTCCCCATCTCTCACCCCCTTCAACTGGCTCTCCCAACAGATTTTTCCCATCTCAGTAAATGGTAGCTCTCAGAAGCACAGGCAAAAATAAAATTCTTCTAAAAGTTAGAATCACCATTGATCTCTCTCTCTCTCTCTCTCTCTCTCTCTCTCTCTCTCTCTCTCTCCCCCTTGTATGTACCTTCATGTACATACATGCATAATGCATACACACACAGATACCCAATCAAACAACAAACATTGACAGTTCTTTCTCCAAATACTATATATACATAATTTGACAACTTCTCACCACCTCCACCACTGCCACTCTGGTCTAAGCCACTAGGGTACTATAAAAGCTTTCAAACTGGTCTTGCTTCTGTTCTTGCCCTCTTCAATGCATTCTTTGCACAGCAGCCAAAATGATCATTTTAAAACATAAGTCATATTTGGTCTCTCTTTTGTTCAAGACTACCATCTCTCAAAGAGTAAAGGCCAACTTCTCTTAAATGATCCCCAAAGATCCATCCAATCTGACTGCTCCACTATCTTTCTTGTCAGAGATTTTTATTTTTCACCTCTTTTTCTCCACCCACATTTGGCTTTAGCAGGTCTCCCAAATGAGGCAATTTCCCACTTTCCTACCCTACCCACTCCCTTCTACCTAAACCAAGGAAGCACCATCTGTTTACGCAAAGCTAAAAATACAATACATATTGTATGTGTATTCACAATCTACCTTTTTATATGAACATGAAAAAATAAGGCTTATTTTTAATTTAGCAAATAATTCTCATACAAAATTATGGAATGTGTTCTTCATTATAACTTTGGAGTGTCTCTCTTTTCTTTCCCTCTGTTTATTTTTCAGTCTTTTTATTTGTGTCTTTGTTCCCCACTCTCTTCACTTCTTTCCTGTCTATGTCCATTTCTATTCTTTTTTCTCCCTGTCCTTCCCTTCATTCTTTTTCCACTGAGAAGGCATTGAAGATTTATTTTTAATGATAATTGGACTTTGATTAGCATGGGAAATTTCCCCCCTTCCCCAGCTTAGGCTCATACCCCATAAACTCCTATCTATTGACCTATATTTTATAATCTGAAATATTTAATAAATAAAATATATAGTAAATATTATTCATAAATTAGATATATTCTCTGGAAATGAAAGGCAAAGCAAGTGGACTTTGCAAAATCTTATCAAATTACCCATTTGCCTTAAATGACTGAATATATTTTATTCAGTCCTTTCCTTTTATATCCCTCTTTCCTTCAATTTCTGTCTTTCTATCTCTCTTTCCAAAGAATCAAAGAGGGTGACTAAGATCAGCAAAATGGTGGAATAGGACATATAGGCTGTAGTATCCAATCACAAAAATATGGATTCGCAACTATCCACAGACAAGAATGCCTTTTTGAAAATACCAGAACCTGGAAGTAAGGCTGAAATGCCCTCTTAGAGCACAAAACAAAGCATCGAACAGACTGCCAAACTACCACAGGAACTCTGGGGGAGTGTTGGGGGAGGGGGGAGCTGTAAGAGATCAACTGAAGGACTTGTATGCATGCATATAAGCATAACCAATGGACACAAGACACTGGGGGGTAGGGGAGGCCAGGGGAATGTCAAGGGGAGAAAAAAGAGACATATATAATACTCTTTGTAATACTTTAAGCAATAAAACAAAATTAAACATAAATAAATAAAATAAAAGGGTAAGAGAAGTGGTTTCACTTTGCGGCCTACTTCCCCGCCCACCCCGACCCCCCCCCCCCCCACGCCACCCCCCAGACCTGCACTCAGTGTCATGCTTAGCAGGTTCCTCTGAATCTAAGGTTTATCCAGTGGGAAAGGAGAGCTCATGGCAGATGGACGCTTCCAGTATTCCAAGGCATTCCCCTGGAGGCCGGCTTCTGTCTAGCTCCATGGGGCACACTGGGGGAATTGGCAGTGTTAAACAACTTGCTGTCAGCTAAGAACAAAGAAGGGGGCTTGGGGAACTTACAGCCATCAGTTCCAGATTGCAATCTCTTCTGATGAGAGTCCAGCAGTCTGCCTTGCTTACTTAGAAATCCAACCTCTGACAGAAACCTTCGGCTCTGGCAACCAGATAAGTACAGGATAGGCGGAGGTCCCGCCCAACAACAGAGGTCTGGCCAACAGCAAAACTCAGAGCAGACTTCCAGCAATGGTGGTGGACCAATCAAAAGGGCCACATTCCTTGGTTTCCTGATGCGCTCAAAAGGCGACCTCTGGTGGTTAAAACTTGCCAGCTGCTCAGCCTAGGGTGGTGGTGCACTCCCCCGCCCCCCCCCCCACACACACACCCACCTCACCCCCGTCCTGGACCTCCGTTAATCATGCCATTCCCGGGGGTCAAAATGGTGAAGGGATTAAGCAAACGGAAAAGAAAAACAATATGCAGGCAACCGTATGGTGATTAGCAGCGGGAAATGGGGTGGGAATGTAGAAGAGAGCAGAGGGGGGATAAAAAGTGATGTAAGGAGACTTGTCTTGGGGTGGTAAACACACACTACAATATACAGATGATGTATTATAGAATTGTGTACCTGAGACCTATACAATAAATTCAATGAAAATAAAAACCCCGCTGGCCACGTGACGTCAGAGCAGCAGCTGTTCTGTCCACTTCCTGCGACAGAGCTTAGGCAGCGACCCAGTCCGCCAACACAATGACCTCTAAGAATCAAAACCCGCTGGCCACCTGCCCTACCACACGCCGACCACAGACAAGGCAATTATGTCGGGCAAGCCGTTAGATATGCCGCATATGCGGCAACTCCTGGGAGTGAAATTCAAAGGCAGTGTAGCCGCGGGAGGGGGATGACATTGGAAACAAAACCCGCTGACCATGTGGCTTGAAAGTGACAGCCGACCCAGTCCACCCACAGATTGAACACCAGAAAACATTACAAGCTGGCCACTCAGCCTAGAGCAGCGTCTCTGCAGTCAGTATACACCACAACCCCTGGGAATCAAACAGCTTCGGAGTGGAAGCAACTCCTTTCTGAAAAACAGTAACCTGAAGTAAAGATAATTTCTCTGGGGAACAAATATGCCCGGACATGTGGCCTGGAGCAGCAGTTCAGGGATTTGACTGTCAAGGGTTGCCGTTTACGCGGCAAGCTCTACTGGCTCATCTGACACGTTCCCCAGGGAATTGTCTTGTCTTGGTCAGCAGGCAGCTTTGGTGACCCTAGGCCAGTGGGTTTTGATTCTCAGGGATCATGGCGGCCTGGGTTGCAGCCACCCCCAGGCTGATTAGAATGGTGGTTTTCAGGGGCTAAGGGGTAAGAAAAATGGGGAGATGCCAATCAAAAAGCACAAACTTTCGATTTTAAGATGAATAAAATCGGGATAAATAGCTGGGGATCTAATGTACAGCTGAGCATTGCTCCCTCTTCAGGAGCGCCCTGACAACCAGTTGGGAGCTCCTGCATTGAGCGTCTGCCCCCTGGTGGTCAATGCACATCATAACGATTGGTATTATACACATGATTTCTCTGAGTAGGTCTGGAGTGTTCTCAATATATATATACACACAAAAGATAGTTTATTGGATTGTTCTAATCATTTCATAATGTATATTATATATAATCACTTTGTAACTCTTAAATGTGTACAATTTTATTTTTCACTTATATTTGAATAAAGTTGGGGAAGGGGAGCAGAGGCAAAAAGAATTCTCCTCAGTAAAAACTGAAGTGCCTTTTACTCATTTGGGAAGATTTCCCATTTCAGATAGTACTGCAAACTGAGTCCACTGTGGAATAGATAAAGGTCAATGGAAAGCTACTTTAGCACATTTACAGGTTCATAACCTAGATACCTTCTGTGAAGGAAATTACAAGTAGATGTTTAGAAAGCTTAACAAGTACATTCACTGCATTAATTAACTGAATAGGTTATGTTAAATACAACTATGATGCTTTGTATCTCTTTACATCCTTGCATCCTCTTCTCTGCAAAAGTGGGAACTGAAGGTTTGATCAGATTAGATTTTTCCAAGTTCTCTATTCTATTTACACCCTTGTGCCTCAGCTTATTAAGCTTAAATAACATCTGTGTTATGTGTGAAATACACAAAGTATAATATAACATATACTAGAGCCCTGACCGGTTTGGCTTAGTGGATAGAGCGTCGGCCTGCGGACTGAAGGGTCCCAGGTTCGATTCCGGTCAAGGGCATGTACCTTGGTTGTGGGCACATCCCAAGTGGGGGGTGTGCAGGAGGCAGCTGAATCGATGTTTCTCTCTCATCAATGTTTCTAACTCTCTATCCCTCTCTTTCTCCCTTCCTCTCTGTAAAAAAAAATAAAATAAAATATATTTAAAAAATAAAATAAAATAAAATATACTAGAGGCCTGGTACATAAAATTCAAACGGGGGGGGGGGTCCCTTAGCCCAGCCTGTGCCCTCTCGCAGTCCAGAACCCCTTGGGGGATGTCCACCCACAAGCTTAGACCCGATCCCCAATCCCCCTGGGAATCAGGCCTAAGCTGGCAGTCAGACATCCCTCTTGCAGTCTGGGGCTCTCACAGTCTGGGACCCCTCGCTCCTTACTCCCTGCCTGCAGTGGAAGCAGGAGAGGCTCCCACCACCGCCACTGCGCTCACCAGCCATGAGCCTGGCTTCTGGCTGAGCGGAGCTCCCCCTGTGGAAGTGCATTGACCACCAGAGGGCAGCTTCTGCATCAAGTGTCTATTCACTAGTGGTCAATGTGCATCATAGTGACCAGTCATTCCACCATTTGGTCGACTTGCATTTAGGGTTTTATTATATAGGATTATATAGGATAATGGATGTGTATTCATGAATTACTATCTATGGATCAGAAATGCAGAACAGCCTAGCAAATTAATGCTTTATATAACTGCACATATTTTCATAAAGTGGATCATTATATTCTTCTTCTTTAAAAATATACTTTTATTGATTTCAGAGAGAAAGGGAGAGAGTGAGTGAGAGAGAGATAAACATCAATGATGAGAGAGTAACATTGATAAGTTGCCTCCTACACAACCCCCCACTAGGGATTGAGCCCACAACCCAGGCATATGCCCTGACTGGGAATTGAACAGTAACCTCCTGGTTCATAGGTTATGCTCAACCACTGAGCCACACCAGCATGATTTCTTTCTCCTCCTGCTGGTATTGCTACCTCTCTCTGTGTGCCTTATTGTGAAAGATTACTCTTTAAGTAATTTAGGGAACTTTCCCTGCCTTTGCACTATATCCTACAATGCTCCATCTGTGTTAAGTGCACAAATATTTGAGAATACAATGTAAAACACATTCACAATTTATCCAGTTCCTAAGGCTGTGAATGATACAAGGGGCTTCTTTAAGAGCTTGGCAAATTAATTCATACAAAGTGAGTGGATATATTTTCTTAAATTCATGTTTGGTATTTTTCCAACTATCTATGTTCCTTGAACTTTATCTAGTGTCCTGTATTCTTTTAATCCTCATCTTTCAGAGTTCTCTTTGTGTTTCTTTCAATCTCTTATTTTCTGCTTTGTCTTTACTTAACCTTTGCTACATGTGTAAAGACACAATATACTAGTATACAATGACCATAATATACTTATTCTAATGAATGGTCAAATTTCTAGGAAAGATGGAAAAATAAGATCATATACCCAAATCTTCCTCTTAGAAAATTAATTGCAAAATTTTTCCAAATGTGGGAAAATGGAATCAGTGTTGAAATAGGGAATGGTATGAACAATTAGCCACAGATTTTAAAGACTTTTATTCATTTATTTAACACATGTTTGAATCTGCAGCAAAGAGCAGGAGCCCTCTGGTTAGAATTACTTCATACCAAGGACTGATAGCATTCAGAGAGAAAGAAACTCATACAAAATAGAACTTCCATAGATTATAGGTCTTTCCCTATTATCTATGGTTCAGCTGCCTATTAATATGTTGAGTAGCATATTCAGAATTCATAAAGGAATATCTATAATTTATAATGACATAAAGACAATATACATATGTGATGTAATAATATGTATGTGGTACATAAATCAAAGGGTATCCAAGGGTGTACAGCAAAGTCTCCCTCTCATAGCTGCCCTAAACGACCCATCTCATTTCTCCCTCCTTTAACTACAATTAACAGTTTCTTGTGGATATTTCTAGAAATAATAACCCTATACAAACATATAGCCCTATATATCTTCAGTGTTCTGTGCTCTGCATTTTTTTTCACTCAACAGTATATCCTGCAGATATTTGCAATGAACAGTAACATCAAGGACTTCATCATTACTTCTTACAGCTGCAGAGTATTGAATTGTGCAAATGTATTTTAATATACTAAATTACCTTTTTACTTATGTACTTTGTATCATGCTTTTAAACTAATTTTAGATGTAGTCTAATTATATCTGCAATGACTCTATTTTTAATAAGGTCACATTCTGAAATACTGGGGTCAGAACTTCAACATGTGAGGGGACATAATTCAACCCGTGACACATGCATTTCCAAGATTGAAGGAAAATTGGCATGCCCATACACTGATAATGGGAGTGTGAATTGCTTAACCTTTTAGAATGGCAATTTGTACATATGTATTAACTTTTCAAAAATGTGTCTACTTTCTGAAATAGCAGTCTTGATATTCTGTCTCTATCCTAGGCAGATAATAACACAGGAGTAAAATGCTATATGGAAAAAGGTCTACACAGGGTTGATTATAGCATTAAATCACATAAAATAATAGTAGATAATTGGCTAAATTGAGTATGATTCACATATGAGGTCATTAAAAATGAAAATATTATTTTACTGAATTTAACAATGAAATGCTATACCTCTCAGTGATAGCAACACTTATCACATCATTGTCAAGAATACTGTGACATTGAAGGAAAGACTTTTACTTCTCTTTTTAAATTTTAAAGTAATTAAAACAGATAATAATAATGTATGTCCAGTCTAATTATTAAAATACTGCTATTTATAACTAACAAGAAATAACAAGTATTGGTAAGAATGTGGAGAAAAGGAAAGCCTTCTTCATTGTTGGTGGGAAAATAAATCGGTGCAGCCACTATGTAAAACAATATGGGAGTTCCCCACAAAATTAAAAATAGAATGACCACATGATGCAGCAATCCTACTTCTGGATATTTAGCCAAAGAACACAAAAAAACTAACTCGAAAAAATATATGCACTCCTAAGTTCACTGAAGCATTATTTACAATAGCCAAGATATGGAAGCAACTTACGTGTCTATGGATAGACGAATGGTGAAGAAGATGTGGTACATATACACAATGGAATGTTATTCAGCCATAAAGAGAAGAAAATATTGCCATTTTTGACAACATGGATGGACATTGAGGGCATTATACTAAGTAAAATAAATTATACAGAGAAAGACAAATATTGTATAATCTCACTTATATGTGGAATCTAAAACAAAACACAATCCAAAAAAACAAGCTCACAGATACAAAGATTAGTAGTTGCAAGAGATAGGGGTGTGTGTGGGTGGGGTAGGGGTGGGGGTAACAGTTACTAGTATATGGTACAGATTATATATAAAAATTCTTGTTAAATAAAGTAAATACCTGTACTAGAGCGGATTATATCTGTCCCAACAACATGGCCCAGCAGGTCATATTGATTCAGGCGAGAGCCGTCCTGTGCTACTTCCACAGATTTGTTCTTCCCAAGAGTCCAAGAATAAACCACTTCAGCTTTTGTATAGGCATCTAAGGCATAAAAGGGTCAAGAAGGAGAAGTTGAAAGGAAATAAAAATGGTTATTTTTGATACTAAACTTGCATGAGTTTAAAATACAACTTACATCCCAAAAGAGTTCTGGGTAGGTGTTCTCTCTTCAACTGAAGTACATGTATCCATCAATCTAATAAGCAATCATTGTATAACCACTATTGTTTATGCTGAGAACACAGAAATGAACCTAAAGTGGTCTTTTCCTTCAATGACCCACAGTCTTTTGCACTGCCAATAAATTGTTAACTTTTTGCTTCTCTTGGAGTGTAAAGAGTGGGGATAAGAGTAGGAATAGATAAAATATAATCTAATGCAGTTGTCATAAATTGAGATGCTTATAGGAGATAGAGAGGTACCTTAAATTAGTAAATTAGGCTAGTTGTGAGAAAAATTACCTGCCACAAAATGTAACAAATTTTCTTTAATTAGTTATAGGGTGACCATATTAGATAAAGTTAAAAAAAAATCATACTAAAAAAAAAACTACACAGAGGAAACCAAGATGGCGGCATAGGTAAACACCTGAAATTGCTGCCTCGCACAACCACTTCAAAAATACAACTAAAAGACAAAACGGATATCATCCAGAACCACAGGAAGGCTGGCTGAGTGGAAATTCTACAACTAGAAGGAAAGAGAAAAGCACACTGAGACTCAGAAGAGGTGCAGAAGTAAAGTGCAGAGGTACGGAGGTGCACGTGGAAAGGGCTGGCAACTGAGGACATGATTTTTTGTGTTTTTGTTTTTTTTTTTTTCAATCAGGAGGGACTCTCAAGCTCCCGACAGCTCTGAATTCCAGCTTTGGGCAAGTCTCTGGGGACCCAGACTCATACAGGGAGAAACTGTACTGTCTGGCATCTGGTCAGAACTTGAGGGTGGCTTTCTCTCAGAGGTGCTTGAAGCGATTACCAGGACACTAAGACGCAGGACCTCTTAGGGTAGGACTAAGGATCTGTCATAGCTGTTTGCTCCGCCCTGTTGATTCCCTGAGACCCTGCCCCACCCAAGCTGTGCGCAGAGGCTTTTGCATATGAAAGGCCTGGCCTTTGCAACCTGAAAATTACCTAACAGACTGCAGCTGGGTCAGAGAGACCCAGAACTTCCAAGAGAAGGCACAAGGCCCCACAGCAGCTTGCATTGCTTCACAACTGGGCCTCATCTGGGCACCTCCAAACACCAAACACAGAAGAGGAATCTGAAGATCTCTCCATAGCTCCTGCTGGGTAGCCTCAGGCAGAGGCTAAATTAGCACCTCCTTAGAGATCCAAGAGCCAGTGTACCCAGTGGTCAGAGTGAGATCATCCAGATTACAACTCCTCAGATCCATAAGGGACACACTCAGGGGGCAGACTCAGTGAGCACCAAAGCCCCACTGAAGCAAGTCTTGCCCCAGAAGGGTGTCTCCAGCACAGAAGTTCTCCCACTGTAGACACACCTGATTCTCACAGACAATTGGCCTGGAGGTCAATTCCTCCCAGTGATACCTACAACAATCAAGGCTTAACTACAACAAGACTGTGCACAATGACCACAAGGGGGTGAACCAAGAGTGTCCTCCTCAGGTAACTGGGGAGGCTGAGGCACTGGGCCCTATAGAACACCTAGCACAGACAGCCACTCTATCAATACAGGGAAGCATAAAAAATGCAGAGACAAAAAAAACAGGTCACAAATGGCAGAAATGGAGGAAAGCAAACTACTGGATATGGAGTTCAAAACTACGGTTATAAGGTTTTTCAAGAATTTTCTAGAAACTACTGATAAATTTAGTAAGACCCTCAATAAGTCTAGTGAGACCGCTGATAAATTTAGTGAGACCCTCAAGAAATCTAGTGAGACCCCCCGGGATATGAAAAAGGACCAACTGGAAATTAAGCATACACTGACTGAAAAAACGAATATTATACAAAGTTGCAACAGCAGACTAGAGGATCGCAAGAATCAAGTCAAAGATTTGAAATACGAAGAAGCAAAAAACACCCAACCGGAAAAACAGAAAGAAAAAAGAATCCAAAAATATCAAGATAGTGTAAGGAGCCTCTGGGACAACTTCAAGCGTACCAACATCAGAATTAGGGGGGTGCCAGAAGAAGAGAGAGAGCAAGATATTGAAAACCTATTTGAAGAAATAATGACAAAAAACTTCCCCTACCTGGTAAAAGAAATAGACTTACAAGTCCAGGAAGCGAAGAGAACCCCAAACAAAAGGACTCCAAAGAGGACCACACCAAGACACATCATAATTAAATGCCACGAGCAAAAGACAAAGAGAGAATCTTAAAATCAGCAAGAGAAAAAAAGTCAGTTACCTACAAGGGAGTACCCATATGACTGTTAGCTGATTTCTCAACAGAAACTATGCAGGCCAGAAGGGAGTGGCAAGAAATATTCAAAGTGATGAATAGCAAGAACCTACAAACAAGATTACTTTATCCAGCAAAGCTATCATTCAGAATTGAAGGTCAGATAAAGAGCTTCACAGAGAAGAAAAAGCTAAAGGAGTTCATCACCACCAAACCAGTATTATATGAAATGTTGAAAGGTATCCTTTAAGAAGAGGAAGAAGAAGAAAAAGGTAAAGATACAAATTATGAACAACAAATACACATCTATCAACAAGTGAATCTAAAAATCAAGTGAATAAAAAATCTGATGAACAGAGTAAACTGGTCATTATAATAGAATCAGGGGCATAGAACGGGAGTGGATTGACAATTCTTGGGGGGGAAAGGGGTGTGGGGGGTGCAGGAAGAGACTGGACAAAAATCGTACACCTATGGATGAGGACAGTGGGGTGGGGGGGTTAAGGGCAGAAGGTGGGGTGGAAACCGGTGGAGGGGACCTATGGGGGCAAAAAAGAGGAACAACTGTAATAATCTGAACAATAAAGATTTAATTTTAAAAAATCATACTAGGGCTATTTTAGGTCTTAAAGAAATGAAAATTTTTAAATGACATAGCAATAATTAATAATCACTATTTTTTAAACTTATTACTATTCTGATTTGAAAAACACAAACCTGCCATCTTTTTTCTGCACCAGGGTGTTAATGATAGGTCTTGCATTTAGAATTTCAATGGCAAGTAAAGAATTTAGTACAGATTAGTTTTAACAGGGGTGTGGGTAAGGGAAATGAGTTGGGAATGAAGGGAGAGACATGTTTTCTTTCCAGACATGGATTAATTCTTTGCACAGTGTATTTTATATTTCGGATGAGCATCTTGTCTTAACTCCAGCACCTGGGCACAAAAAGGGAAGTTGACCTCCATACTGTTCACCCATTTCATCCAAGTTTTGGACTGGTGTTATGTCCATAATATGCTCTATTTAAATGTTTTACTACAAAACAAATAATTCCTAGTGAATTTACCAATGAACAAATATAAACTCTGTGTCCATACAAAACCTTGCACCTTGGGTATACATTTCATAACAGTCTAACAGTAACCTTTACACACACCAATTGTGATCTGCTTATAGTACACTTCTTAGGACTTCATCAGTATACCCAAGTAAACCATTTCCTGATTTTTTTTGTAATGGGCAACATGCCAAAAAGTTCTTCATTCACATCAAAATTCTCATTGAAATCATGAAAAATTATACATAACTCTATGGTATTTTTATATATGTGCTCTCATAAACTACAAAAGAAAATACCACAAGAAATCTAATTTTTCCACATAGTATGCCCTATTTGGTCTCAGTAATTTCTTCAAAACAGTGACAGAAATGCTTCTAGTTCAACATACAATTTCTGCTGTGATTAATAGATATTTTTATGAATCTAGCATTTATAAAATACTACAGGCCCGGTACTCAAAATTCATGCACAGGGGGGTGTCCCTCAGCCCAGCCTGCACACTCTCCAATCTGGGACCCCTCGGGGGATGTCCTACTGCTGGTTTAGGCCTGATCCCTCTCACAATCCAGGACTGCCGGCTCCTAACCACTCACCTGCATGCCTGCCTGATTTCCCCTAACTGCTTTTAACTGCCAGCCTGATCGCCCCCTAACCACTCCCCTGCCGGCCTGGTCACCCCCAACTGCCCTGCGCGGCTGGCCCAGTCACCACCAACTGCCTTCCTCTGCCAACCTGATGGCCTCCAGCTGTCCTCCCCTGCAAGCCTGATAACCCCCAACTGCCCTCTCCTGTCAGCCTGGTCACCTCCAACTGCCCTCCCTTGCCAGCCCGGTCACCCCTAACTATCCTCCCCTGCCAGCCTGGTCACACTTAACTGCCCTCCCCTGAAGGCCTGGTCCCCCCCAACTGCCTTCCCCTGCAGACCTGGTTGCCCCCAACTGACCTCCTCTGCTGGTCTAGTCGCCCCTAACGGCCCTCCCCTGCTGGCCTGATCACCCACAACTGCCCTCCCCTGCCAGCCATCTTGTGGCTGTGGGCGCCACCATCTTTGAGGGTGGGGAAGTCAATTAGCATATTCCCTCTTTATTAAATAGAATTTGTGACAGTGTGAGGGTCAATTACCCATCTTTGTGACAGTGTGAGGGTCAATTAGCATATTCCCTCTTTATTAAACAGGATTTTAATGCCTAGGAAGGTTTGTTGCATAGTGCTTAACTGCATTTCCCAGTAGCAACACTTTGTGTATGCATTCAAACACAAAACTTATTGGACTTTCAGGTTCAATAAACAAATAAGCAATAAATACATAAAAGAAAAATCCAGAATTTTATGTGACATTCCCCAAATTTCAATCTTAACAAATAATTTCAAAAGTTATAAACACTGTATATATCAAGTAAATCACATCTGCAAACCACCAATGTACAACCTCTGGTCTAGAGACTCTCCTATAGATGGCTATGGCCTTCTGTGATTCATCCTTGGAAACAAAGCATCTGCTGTTTGCTATGGGGTATTGAGGGCTCCCAACTGGAATTGTAGATCTTCAAATTAGTGTCATCAAGAAGAAATGGAAATCTTCTCAGGACTCTTCTCATAACCTTACCCAAA